TTTTTGGAATAGCCCCAGAAAATCTGGGTCATCTCTCCTAGGGTGTATTTTAGGTTTGTTGCTTTTCATGCTTCATGAAATTATGAGAAGCATGGATTTGGAGGTCTGGATTTAGAAACCTGGGTTGAATTCTTGGAGCACCATGTACTAACTGTGTGATTTTGGCTAAATCATATAACTTCTTCATGTCTCAGTTTAATTACCTGAAAAACAGCACTATCTAGCCCACAGATACTGCTTGGTGGTAAATAAATGAGATAATATCTGTGTAAAGTGATGGCACATAGCAGATACTCAGTAAATTTTAGCTTCCTTCCTCTTTTTCTTCTTTTTAGATTGAATTTACCCAACTATAATAACTTGTAAAGAAATAAATTATAGTAGTTTGGTCCTACTGAGATGATCTCAATAGCTCTCATAATCTTTCTTTTCCCCCACATGGCAGAAATCCATCATTCTCTGCTACTATTCTTATTTTAGAAGGAAAAAAAAAAAAACCAGCTGAAATCATCTACTCAACAACGCAAGTCCCTGCTTGCTATAAATTTTATTTATCATGAGGCATCAAATTTGCTAGTGGCAAGAGGTGTGTGTCTAGGTGTGCCTCAGAGTGAATCAAAGGCAAATAAATCACATGAATGTAATACTACCTGATGGGTTTCACTGATGTGTAGGAGGAGCTAAAATGATTAACATAAGGTCACAATGAAGGATTAAAGGGATGGTAGCAAGTTATCCCACTGATTCACCCATATATCCAGTTTTCTTCTTCTCAGTACTTGGAAAATCACATTTCTTAGTTCCTTTGCAATTGGGTGAACCCTATGATGAGCTCCAGGCAATTGGTTGGGAGTAGAAGTAATATATCACATGTAGGAAGAAGTTTTTAAGAGCCAGTGATCAGTTCCCAGCTAGAAACGGTCTGTGATATTGAAGGATATAAACCCTACACACTGTCCCAGACTTGGGGCAGATTTTTCTGCAAAAAGGAAATAACCTTTTGTTGTGTTAAACTCTGAAATATTCATGTTACTTATTACCACCACAAAATTAGGCACTTCTAACTCATGCATTGGGTTCAGGAGAACTCAGGAAAATCTGAATAAATCATATATCTCAGGAAAAACAGGAAACACAGCCAGCTGTCTCAGAAAATAGAGCTGGAAGGTTATTTAGGATTATTGTTGATTTACTGCTCCACCACTAAAGTAACTTATCTTCTCCCTTTAGATCATCTCCTTTCTGTGTCTACTTCTGCTTCCACTTCCAATTGCCAGTTGTCTTTTTTTGCATCATTGTATTTTACATATCTTGCAAATAGATACAACCCAGTAAGTACAATTTGGATACTGAATCAGAAAGTGCTCTTGAATCAGACTACCTCATAGGCTACTGGGGAGCCTAAAATGCACTTTCAGGTACCTTCCTCTGGTCCAATTAGCAACAACATGGAGTTGGGTCCTGAAATACAAAACATGGCCATGTATCCTTGAGGAAATCTTGGGGCCTCTTCCTAACAGGAGCTGTGGCTTGGAGTCCTGTTAGACAGGAGCTGTCACTATGGTAGGCACCATATTGGCCTGTTCAGTAAACTGGGATACAGACTTTTCAGGTAAGCGAAAGAGAGGCTATTATTCTATTACTGTGACTGCTGGGCCTAGAACTGGTTATAAAAATGTCTCGGTATTGACCTGGAAATTGGCCAGTGGCTTCTGGGTTGGGACAAAATTTTTGTTGAACTGAGAAGTCTTCCTAGATGAGACAGGAACTGGACCCTAGGTCAAATGCAGATTTCTTGCCTTTTGGATACTTCTTGGTCATGAACTAAATAGTCAACTTTGAGAAATGTTTTTGGTTGATAATACGTACAACAGGCAATAGTTTTTTCTTAGGACAATGTAATAATCAGTGACTTAACATTGTTTTGATGTTAAAATATAATATATGGACTATTTCACTTTACCTTGGGCATTTGGTTAACTCATAAATGTGAAATTAGAGCTTCCCTGTGTTCTTAATGTCACCATCCTAGTGGCTATTGTCTCTTTATGCATACTTTTTTTTTTTTTAATGTAAGGTAGTCTGTGTTTGGTGTATGTTTATTTACCTTCTTAAAATGCTTACTACCATTTTAAACTCCACTCCTCAACCTCATCCTTTCTTGTTTAACCTTCTTTTGAGGCACCTTTTATATTTTCCAAAGTACTCCATTGTCCTCTCAAATGGCTTCAGTGCCCCGATTGATCTGCATCTAATTCTCAGTCAAAACTATTGCTGCCTCTGAAGTTATCTCCATTAGGGGGTTAACAGCAAATAAGCCAATTAAATGACTATACACTGAGCTACAGGTTTCGGAAGTTATATATATATTTATTTTTTTATTTTTATTTTTTTAAATCAGAGATATCTTCCTAACAGTCTTTAAATTATAACAGGTCATTCCTGATTCCTTTTAACAGTACAAACAGGATGGTGGTCTCCAACACTAACTCTTGGTTGGAGGTAGTGGTACAGAATAGGGATGGTGGACTTAATATGTTTTGGGAAACCATGACCATAATTCATATACTTTAAGAGACCATTATTTATAAAACTCATCTGTATTGCAGGGCTGCTAAGCTGTGAAAAATGTGTGTCAAAAATTCTACTGAAATATGATACAGTTATACACCACATAACAATATTTTGGTCAACAACAGGCTGCATATATGATGGTGGTCCCATAAGATTATAATGTCATATTTTTACTGTATCATTTCTATGTTTAGATACACAAATACTTACCATGGTATTACAATTGCCTCCAGTATTCAGTAGGCTGTAGCATGCTGTACAGGTTTGTAGCCTAGGAGCAATAGGCTATCCCATATGGCCGAGGTGCATAGTAAGCTATACCATCTAGTTTTGTGTAAGCACACTCTATGATGTTCACACAATGACAAAATTGCCTGACGATGTATTTCTCAGAAGGTATTCGGGTTGTTAAACAACATATGACTGTACATGGGTTGATGCACTATGGGGACGGAGCAGTGCAGGAGTAGAATGAGGGCTGAGCTTTCACTGAGACCAGGTTTGACTTCCAACCCTGCCCTTAATTAGCTGTGTAACCTTGGGCAAAGCATTTAACCTCTCTGAGCCCAAGGGTTTTCATCCGAAAAGTGGAGATAATAATGGCTATGAGCTTATTAGATGTTTCACCGAAGATATTGTACATGAAAAGCTCCTGACACACAGCAGGTGCCCAGTGGGTATTAGCTGAATTTGAATCTACCTCCTTTTAAGTACCCTTTACACTTCAGGAAAGAGACTCCTGTCCTATTAAGGAGATTGATAGAGGACTAGAAAGAACTGTGGTTGGGAGAGAAAAAATCTTAGCCTTGACTGCCCGACCTCCTTTATACTATTATTGCCTTGATAACAATTTGCTTGTTATTCCTTCCTCCCTTCACGAAATCATTAAATTCTGAGTTCCTACATTTTGTCAGGTACTAGGGATAAAAAGATGAATAAGATATACGGTCTCCATGGATCACAGAGTCAAGTAGGGAAAGAAAAAGCGTAAGAAAATAAGAAGTGTTAAACTATTACTCTGAAAAAATGTGCAAACCTTTTCATTAAACAATTTTTTAAAGGTAGATTCCCAATAGCAGCTATGATTTGTAAAATGTTGTAGAAACACGGACAATTTAAAGTAAACGCTATCACAAAGCAAACTGCCTTCAACTTTTCCCCCTTGTTAGAGTTAATTTTGACTTTGGCATGAGGACACATTTTGTTTTTCTTCTGCTCACACAGTGCATCTGTTACCTTCTCTGTCAGGCAAGTATAGAAAGTAAATCATCAGGCAAGAAACAGTAAGCACACATCTAAAATCTGAAGCAAAATTGGTAGGGATAATTTTAGCTCTACCTGCATATGGAATAATGTAACTATAGAACTTTTCGTTTTCTGGTGAGCATGGTACAGTAGGGAAAATACAGGCTGAGGAATCAGAATATAATCTAAATTTTGGCTTTACTAGTTTTGCGCGCAAATCACTTAACCTCACTGAGCCTCAGTTTTCTCATTTGTAAAAACGAGTGATAATACTTATGAGATTATGGTAACAATTATAATATGTCTATACATAATAGGCCTTTAATAAATATTATTATTCAAACCCTAGAACACAAAAGAAAATAATTTCTCAACCCTTAGGTAATTGTACAAAGTACTCAAATGCCTCATTATAAATTAAGTGTATATTGGAGGCAGAATTTGACCTGATCATTTTAAGCAGGAACTAAAATAGTCTTAACTTGGGATGCCTATGCCTACTGGGACAAAGTCATTACAAGCTATAAATGTCTAGCTGGAGTAGTAAACCCTGAAAACCAGGATGGGAACAGGTTGGAGCTTCATGGAATGTGGAATGCCCAAACCTGGTCCGTAACACAAAATCGGAGTCTGCAGTCTTCTGGGGCTAAATATTGGGCCAAAATAGAATGTCTGAGTACAGGTGTATAATAGTTTTGTCTTTAGTGTTCAATGTTGAACCCCTTTCTTAATTGGTAGCTATAGGGTCCACTTTCCATCACTAAAGTGCAAGGCCAGTGACTCAATTTCCATATTCGTGGCAATAAGCACATGCCATGTGATCTAGACCACTAATAACTCTAGACTGGAGAAGCGAGGCCTAGAAATAACTCATTTTGGCAGAAGTGACAGTGGCAGCAGCATCCAGTGTCTAGTGACAACAGTGTCCACGGGGCTTCCAGTGTCATTTCTATGTCTTGTGGAGGTAGGGGAGAGGTTGTCAGTGGTAGCAGTCCAATGTACCCTGACTAGACGTGTAGATTTGACTGTTGTGATCTCTTAATCTCTCTTGGTTCTGGCTCATTTCTTGCAGCTGGTTCTTCAGGCTTCTCATCAATTCTAGGAGCTACCTATCAGTCTGCCAATAGATTGCTTATCTGCTTAAGATAAAGTCCATTTCAGTTGTCTGCATCCAAGAATCTTGACTACTGTAGGGCAAATGGAAGAATCACAGTGTGGAGCAAATCTGAGGTCAAAGCTGTCAGAGACTTGAAGAGGAGGTAAAGGAGGGGAGCTCAGTAAATATGTTGACAGTCCAGAAGAAAATGTGTAGATAATATCCATTTGAGATTGAGGCCTTGCCTTGACAAACCACTTCTTGTCTTGAAGACACACTCTTCAACCCAGCTTCTCACAGAAACCAAAATCTCAGCTGATGGCAGAAGGCTGGAACCAGAGTGAGAAGGTTGGTTGCAACAAAGGGTAAAATGCTTCCTTAGGGGATAACCCAAGGCAGCTAAAATACCCAGACCCATTGCTATGGTAATCTACCCGCATAATAATTACAGGTTATTTGCATATCTGGATTCCCTTTCATAGCCAGGGGATGGTGTGAAGTCAGTGCTAAAGCAGCAGCACGTGGCTGTCATGTGTCATCTCTGCCCCAAGTGGTTCTGAAATTGGTTTAAAGCTTGAGGAGCCTTCATTCTTTTTGGGATAGAGGATAAGAATCCTAACAGAACTCATCCCCAGCCATCACTAGTCAGAGAGCGAGCCTTCTGGCAGAGTAGGGTAGTGAAAGGCATGGGCTCCAGCAGCAGTAACCTGAGTCATGTCCGAGGTGACAGAGAAGAAAATAAACCAGAAGGCCAGAATCTGGGAGGACTGAGAACCGGTAGGAAAAGAGGGTGGGAAGGTGTTTATGAAGTAAGACAAAGGCTGAAAGTATTAGTGCTCTATGGGCACAGTTACATGTGATGATGGCTGAGGGAGTGGGCTTGAGGGTGATTCTCCAGGCCCAGCCCCAGACGTCTCAGGGAACTAACATTGCCTCTTCTGATTCACAGTGATAATAAATAATTAACAATTATTTGTTATAATTTATATAATATAATGATATGTTACATATATCACTTTATTATAAAAATATATTTATATATTATAAAATATGTAGTTATAGATAATAGTATATATTACTATTATAGTTATAGATAGTAGCATATATTATCTATAACTATATATTTAGTTATATATGTTGCATATATAATATAATAATCAAAATTTGTCACTATATTATTTATAATAAAAATTTAAAAATCCAATTTTTGCCTTCTGATACCATTCTGAACCTGGAGTAGCCTCTTAAGGGGCAAAACTCACTGCCATTTAGTGAAGTAAATTTAGATGAGAGTCTTTTAAAATATATATTGAGCCAGGCCTGCCCTACCCAACCCTTTTAAGTAATATATTGAGCCAGGCCTGCCCTACCCGACCCCATCTTGGGACAGGAAGAAGGTAACCCACTGTAGGAGAAAGTTTGGTGTCCCCTTCTCCCTCTATAGCTTGATCCCTTGGTCAGGGACTGTGGCATCTTGGAGCTTCAAGGAGAGACAAGGCCTTAAGGAGAGAAGGGGCATTTTGGGACAAGATTGTCATATCTTCTATCACTGTCCTCTCATAAAACCTGCTCTAACATGCTCTTGCCAAAAGCAAACTGACCAGTGCTTAAAATGCAAGTCAGGAGCAGTGCATGAGCAGTCATGCAGGATGACAGTGGGTGAGATGATCTATCCTTAAATCAGGCATAAAGTCCTCTTGCCTCCATGCATATCAGGACATCTGAGGAGCACTTCCTGTACCCTGGGCAGGATATTTTAAAAGTTAGCTGCCTCAAAGTAGAAAATAAAACTCAACAAGATTTTATCTTGTTTTTAATTTCGATGTCTCCCTGGCAGCTGTAATATTATACATAGTAAATATCTAGGTTAAACCAAATAGTCACATGGGAAAATGATATTTCACACCTCTATTTTGGAATTATGTGCAAAATTTGCCACATCTCTCTTGTTGAATAATACAGAGTTAAATTGATAACTACCCCAGTTGAACATGATGATCTATAATTAAGTTATTAGCTATTGTTTTGTTGCATAAAAACATTTTATTTCTCAACTCAGGGGTAAAATCTATAGTAAAGATTGTGCTTTGCAAGTCGTTATTTATCACTGGCTTATGTAAGGTTGTAAAAAACAGATTTAAAATGGCCAAAAAAAAAAAGAGTGAATACTTAAAGAAATTATTAGATCTTCTGTTAAAAAAAAAAAAACACCACTTTTATGAAAAGTTAGATTTAGTTCCTAATAGAAGAGTAAAACCAAAAGAAACTTGCTTCCTCCACACCTGAGCTCTACAGTCCTGTGGCATATATTATCCATGCTTAAAATTCCCCTCTTTGTGCTAACGCATTGTCAGAGCAAGTAGAGCTGGCAATGTACTATCCTACCTCCCTTTATTTTTTATTCCTCTTCACTTTTCTCCAACTCCCCATTGCTTATCATCTAGTCCTCCCTCCTGCCTTCTCTATCCTCTTTGCCTTTTTGTTTTCTGCTTCCTTCCTCTTTCTCTATAGGCTTTGGGCTTTCTCTCTTTTCTTTCTTCCTTATCTCCTTCTTACTCCTCTCTCCTTCAGACAATGCTGCCTTGTGGTTATGAAGAGCATGGGCTCTGGAAGCTGATTAAGGCTTCCAATGTGGGTTCTGCCATTCAAACTGGGGTAAGCTACTTCATCTTAAACATTTGTATCAATCAGGGTTCAACCAGAGAAACAGAGATGCTACTATGGGAGGCACTGGGGAGGAGAGGGTCTGAAGGGGGAGCTGGAAGATCAGAGGGGCCACCCATCAGTTCACCTGAGAAGGCAGACATGCCCAGCTGCTGAAATAGGACTGTGAATAGGGAGCTGGTGGAGAAATCTATGGGGGGCTGTTGCCGCAGAAGGTTCACATTCAAGTATAAGGTGGCACTGCAATTAATCAGCAGTGCCAGAGGCCCCCCAAAATGGCAGGATGTAGAGTGGAGGAGAGCAGACAGCTGGAGCCCACTGGCACCTCTATGTCCGCCCACTGCTGTATCGAACGATGACGATCTTCAGAGAGTAATAGCTGCTGCTTTACTTCTGTCTTCCAAATCTCCTGCAAATTCTACTTTTGGCAAAATCAACCACAGAATCATATGGAGGAGAGGATTCTGGAGAACCCAGATCTAGCTTAACTGATTGGAGGAGTAAAAATCACCACGTGAATCATTTAAAAAATTTAGTTATTCAGAGTTCATAGCTCATGGGGATGTTGTGGAAAGTAAATGAAATTTAATACATGCAAAGAAAGCACTAATCACAGTCTGACACATAGTAAGCACCCAATAAATGTTGTCATTTATGCTTTGCTTTCAATCCATTTCCTCTCATTATACTCTTCTACCTAAGCACAATTACCAAATTTATCAATGTCCATTGCCAAATTTATCAGATACATTGGTATGTATCATCGATGTTCAGGATAATTAGTGAATGATTGTGGGATGTGTAACAATAAAATAGATATTTATTGAATACTTAGTAGGTAATATACAATATACTTTTACATGCTTTAGCACACATGATACTTATAGCAATCTTGTGACCATCATCATTCACATTAAAACATGAGGAAACTGAAGTAGAGAGATTATTTACTTGCCCCCAAATTACACAGGATTAAACACAGTGCCAGTTTACACTGGAGTAATGTAAAACCACCATTTCAAATAATCTGTTCCCATTAAGAATAGGAATACCTCCTGTAGGAAGATTATCTTCAGAAATACAGCACCTTCAAAACTTACAACAGATCTTTTTTATTGTTATAGTTCCTTTTTTGTTGTTATAGTTTCACACAAAATTTGGGCAAATTATAAATCTTCCTTGTATGGTTTGCAATAAGACCAGTGGTCAGAAAGAACTTGGTATGAGGCAGTGTTTGACAAAGTAGCCTTGCTCAAGCCAACAAAAAGTAGAAGTAGTTGGGAAGAGAGATGGAGAAAAGCTGAAGAAAGGTTAAAGTTGGCTTATAACTGGATACAATTTTACAACCTAAAACATGAAAAACTTGCTCCAAGTAGACTCCTAGGCCCCTTTAAAGCATGGCCTGTGACTTTTACTGGAACAAAAAGTTCCTTAAATTAATTACAGCCAGTAGTTCTCTTACCCTAGCCCTAAGCTCGAGTTGTCTCCTAAAGCAGAAACTCCAAATTGGCAGCTCTACAGATTGTACAGAGTGGGCTTGTGCAATCTTTTAAAACTTAGAAAAAAAAAAAGAAAATCTAAATGTTTTCAGATGGGGCTTATCACAGTTTCTAATCATCTCTCCTTATCTCTCTCTGAGCCTTCCTTCACTTATTGATGCTACATGCCTCAATCTAGAAGGCATGTGAGCTTCCAACTCCTACAGTCATGATTTCTAGGACAGATTTCAAAGGGATTGGCTGGTCCTGAATTTCCACATGGAAATCAACAGAGACAAGGGGCATGAACCTTCCCAATTCTGTTTCTACTCATCTGACCCCTTCCCTGTCAGCTCATTCCTTAAAGTTCTTTATGGATAAACTCGTTGTGTGGAATTCTGACAACTGCTAGGTTTACCCTCAGTTGGTATAAGGCAGTGTTTGACAAAGTAGCCTTGCTCAAGCCAACAACAAGTAGAAGTAGTTGGAAGCAAGACCTGAATTGCTCAAAAAACCAAGTGATGAAACCATACAATTTCACCTTTGTCAAATGTTACATACATTTTGTAAGTGAAAAATCCTGAGACATAAAGGCTAAGCACTGACAGAGTGAAACAGAAAACTTAAAACTTGTTCATAAGTAGGCACAGGTGCAATCTCTGCAAATACACTTGAAAAAGGGTTAATTGTGTGCTTATCAATTTGTAGGGCTCGAAGTTTTAAAGTGTGGTATTAGGGAAATATTTGATTTCCTAGAGTTTGGAACACATGTGGTATGAAAACTTGAAAGTACCATATGATAAATCATAATGTTTTAGCTATGTTGACAAGCAAAAGCTGGATTTGGTATTTTATGATAAAGATTGACAAAAATTTGTGGCATAATTTAAAACACCTGGGTGTAGTTAAGGTATCCATAGATTTATTGAATAGAATCTTCCTTTTTTATAAAGATATGGAGATAAATGGCATTATAGAGTCTAGATCGCTAAAAGGAGACATAAAATCTTGCTCTTTATAACAGAAACCTCGTAGGAATTTACATTTGTAAATTTCTCCTGGTGTGCTCAGTTTCCTGGTATGTGTACCTGAATCTGAGCATCTGCCCCATTCCTTTATATCTTCACCGTTCTCTTATGCTTTTTCTGAAACTTATATAATTAAAGATGCTTTTGCTTGTATGGGTATTTAAATCAAATTATTGCTTTAAATTAAGTATAAATGTTATAATCTTGTTTTCCTAACTCCTCGCAATGTTCTGATTTTTGCTTTCACAAACAAAATACTTGTTTACAGTTTACAGAATGAGATGACTGTAAATAGAGTCTTCAATTTAAAAAAAAGCTTAATTGTTGAAATTAAAGGATCTCACCAAACATACTGAATATTATTCATTTGGAAAACTATATCAATTTACACATAATTACAATTCCAGAATATGTGCAATCATGCACTTAACATAATTAGGGAAATTAATACAAATCCCAATTCCTCATACACTAATGATGGCTTCTAGAGCACATTATATCTTTCCCATTTTTATCCAAGGGATAGTGCATAGAGGCCCGGCCTGTGTAAAAAATGCACTTTTAGAAAAGTATATATTCCCAATTTCAAGGATTCTTTTGAGTACTCAGGAAAGCATATAAAACTATATATAGACCCCTACAAATCAAAGTAGACAAATTATTTGTTATATATTTTAAAAGAAAAGGAGGTGAAATATTTGGCTTAAGCTCAGTCATCAAGGGGGAATAGTTTTAGAGGAAAGAGGTTTAAGTTGCACAATTAATATTATCAAAGGCACCAAAAATAATGATCTGACTCGTTTTGGAAAAATAATGCTGTCTTTGGGCTAGAATATTAGAATTGCTTGAGTTGTGCTAGTAGAATTTTCTACAACGATGGAAATGCTGCATGTTGTGCACTGTCAAATATAGTAGTGAACAGCAATGTGTGACTACTGAGCATCTGAAATGTGGCTAGTGCAACTGAGGAACTGGATTTTTAGTTTTACTAATTTTAATTAATTTAAGGGTAAATTTAAATACTCACATATGGCTAGTGGCTACTGTATTGAACAGTGCAGTTCTAAAGTGTTATTGATAAAAACTGCAAAATTTCTGTAATTTACTCACTTATTTGTGGACATATTTATACATATTTTTACATTCGTTTATTAATTCTACAAATATTTATTGATGGCCTTCTTTGTTCCAGGCATGGAGAATATAATGGTGAGCAAAACTGACCAAGGCCCTACTCTCATGGGATTTATATAGTCTCATGGAATACATGGATACCAATCAAATAATCACACAGCTGGTAGAAATTAGAAGAACTGAAGGTTGTAAGATTATCCTGTGTAGTTATTTCTGTGAGGAAGTCCAGGCTTTGCAACCTCTTTAAAGTCTTCTGATTGTCCACCAGGAAATGACCTCTGACCTGAGATCTAAAAGATGTTTGGCTCTACCAAATGGATGGATTTTATCAGTTGACACTACAGAGATCAAACAAGGTTGGTAGGAACAAATTTAGATAATTATCATACTGACTACATATGTAAGCAAAACAACTGTTTCTCCGTAGAAAGAAGAATATCAGGAGCATCGTGGCTTAGAATTATTAAAGCTGTCAAAACGGAAAGTTGAACTGATCACAGTATAGCCAGGGAGTTTCCAAGTCATTTTGACTCACAGTGTGTAAGGCAGAGGTGCCCTTAAGAGCTTCCTTCTCTGTTATTGAAATAAGGTATAGAAAACACATATATGCACACACACATCACACACATACCCACACACAGCTGGGTGTAATTAAGAGGAAAGTAGTCAGATGAATTGCATTTTCTTAAAGAAATATTTTGAGATGTTCTTGGAAAAATATATCCCTACTGAATAGCTAGGTTTCTGACATAGACAAAATATGTCTTTTGCAAACATGCCATAAAAAAACAGTGCTGATCTCTTCCATTCGGATATTTCCCAGTGCCTTAGGGTTACCCAGGGAAGTAGTTGCTCTGAAGGTTTAGGAAACAAAGTTGTCCAAAATGATCATAAATAGGGATTGAAATCTAGTTTGCATGTAGAATTCCAATCCCGCTGGAAGTTCTAGCTGATAATCTAATTTAACCGTGAAATGATATATGATAATTTGAAAATAATTATACACTTTCAAATGAGAAGCCACTGAAGTACCGCAATACAGAATTAAAGTAGCATGTGACACTCCAATTTTGCCTGCTGTAATTTTAATTTGGGGTTGGAGTCAGAGTGGCACTGGCTCCTCAAAACATCCTGATGCTAGTAACATATCTAGGCAGAACATCTAAGACAGATATACTCTCTCATCTTCAAAAGTGTGCAAAAAGTATTTTGAGTACCTCCCCCACTGTAATATTTCATGAATCGGCCCAGTTTTTATGGAATGCTGCCAGGTGGCTGAACTGTATCCTTCACCCTTTCTTCTCCCTTCTTGGTAGGCCTGAGAGTATGTGAATTAAGTGACATGCATAATAACTATAACAAAATTATATTGCATTCAATAGAAATCACTACATAACACACCTGAATATTCTGGGGGTTTGTGCTCCATAGAGTCAGTGAGAACTCTTGGGTCGATGCAGTATTGAATGCTTTTGTCTCACCCACATGAGACAGATTGATACCATGTCGTTCCCTGGGCCTATGTGTAAAATCTCCATCCCATCACAGAGTGCATTCATACACACTCCAATGCTCCATGAGTCCACGTCTGCAGATCCCCTGAAGCCTCTGAACGTTATCGATTGTACTGAATTAAATTTTCTTTCAAACATACAAAAATTGTTTTCATTAGGATATGTGCCCAGCCCTTGCCCAGAGGTAGGCATTGCTACTAGGCAAGTCCCTGGGTTATTATCCTGTGTTCACCCTTTCTGACGTGTGGCTTTACATTAAAGAGATCTTGTTGAGTAGGCTTGTGTGTATGGAGGGGGAGACAGGGAGAGTCAGTTCATTTCACTCTGGTGGTCACTAATGTCCCTCCAGGCCCAAACCATTATCATACATTCTGTAGCCACTTACATGTGTATGTGTAGATGACTTGTGGAAGTCCTACAGGTAAGTTAGCTTGTGCAACATTTTAACTTTTTATAATGCAAAATTTCAAACATATCCTAAAGCAGACATACTAGTGTAATGAAGTTCTATGTACTGCCATCACTCAGCTTTCACATGATCAACTTATGGTCAGTCCTATTTCATTTACAGCCCCACCTGTTCACCCCTTTCTGTATTACACAGCAAGTCTTCACTTAACTTCATCCATAGGTTCTTGGAAATTGAGAAACAATGTGTAAGAAAACCAATTTTGTCATAAGGTAATTGATATATAAACAAGAGTTACATCCCTAAAAATAGAACTACCATTCCAGTCAGCAATTCCACTACTGGGTATATTCCCAAAGAGAATAAATCATTACATCAAAAAGATACCGGCATTCACATGTTTATTGTAGCACTATTCACAATAGCAAACATAGGGAATCAACAATGGAGGACTGGATAAAGATGAGGTGTATATACACCATGGAATACTCAGTTATAAAGAAAGAATGAAATCATGTCTTTTGCAGCAACATGGATAGAACTGGAGGCCATTATCCTCAGTGAAATAACTCAGAAACAGAAGGTCATATACCCCCTGTTCTCATTTGCATGTGGAAGCTAAACAGTGGGTGCAAATGAACACACAGAGTGGAATAACAAACACTGGAGACCCCAAAATGTCAGAGGGTGGGAGAGGGTTGAGGGTTGAAAATGTACTAAGAGCCTAGACTTCACCGCTATGCAATATATACATGTAAGAAATCTACACCTGTACCCCCTAAATGTATAAAAATAACACTTTTAAAAAAGAGTTAAGTTTCTATGGCATATTTCTGGTCACAGAAACATCACCAGACTTATAAATAAAGACCCTAAACACTTCTAATATTAAACACTGAAATAAACGTGAGCTATCCGTACATTTAAGGAAGATTAATAGAAACAAGGTAACTACCCAATTTTGGTGAATCACTGAGTGATGGTAGTCACAGAGGTAGTGGGTTAAATCAAAGAATAAATGTTTGCAAAGCACAAATCATAAGGAGCATCTTCTCCCACCAATACGGTTCAAAATCAAGCAAGGACAAATCTGGTGGGCTTGCTAAGTGCTTTTGTGCTGCATCATTTGTTGCTGTGCATTTGTTCAATAAATATTATTGAACACTTTTCAGATTCTTATTTTATAATAACTTGTATTCATTCATTCATTTTCCAACCTGCATATTCCAGTTCAGGTGGCTGGAGCCTATGTCAGCACCTCAGAGCACAGAGATGGAAACCAGCCCTGGACAGGACACCATCCCATCGCAGAGTGTATTCACACACACTCCAATACTCATTCACATGGGGACCATTTAGATGCACCCGTTCACCTGATGTGCACATCTTGGGATGTAGGAGGAAACAGAAGTAGGAGTACCCAGAGAAAACCCATGCAGACATGGGGAGAACACGCAAACGCCACACAGACAGGGGCCCTGGCGCAGAGTCCATTTTGTTTCTCATCAACGGTGTAACAATGTTGAACGAAACGACATTCTCCGGGGACCTGCTGCATTTTAAAACAAATTCATGAATAGTTTGCATTTGGATGGAGCAGTTAATAGAGGAGACCATTTTCCCCCAAAGCCTTCTTTGATATTTTGCTCCTCAGTAGGAAGTAACGGCCACCCTTGAGACTCCCCAGCATTTTCTCCCTATTTTTCTTCTAGCACCTACTATTTCCTGCCTGGAATTATAGGTCTTTTTGTATATCTCTCTTTCCTATTGAACCCTAAGCTCCTTGAAGGCAGGCTCCATGACTAACTCATACAGCATTCAATAAATGTTTATTGAATGAAGGAAGAAATGTATAAAGATGGGTTACAATGATTGAAATCCAAATTTAGATCAAGACAGATCCATACCCAGCACTGGAATCTCTTTATTCTGTGATTTGATCTGGCTTCTGTTTATAGATCTTAATTAAATACAGACTTTGAGTTTCTTCCAAATGCCAATAAAACCTTTAGGCAAAATATGTTTATCTTGAATTGAATGAAGAACTAAATATGGCAGAAGATATATTTGTTATTTATGATAATATAAAAGAAGCAGTTTCATGTAGCTATGTATTAAAGGACACAAACTTGAAAATGGAAATCTATATTTTTGCATGAAATAGTGAAAGAAATTTGGAAAGGATGAACTTCCATGTGAAAATAAACTTTAGGGTCAGGTAGACCTGGCTGCAAATTCCAGCCCTGTCACTTTGCTATACGACCTTGAGTAAGTTACTCAGCCTCTCTGATCCTTACTTTCCTAATCCATAAAAATGGGAAGAATTTTTCCTTGCTTCTCAGGATTGCGAAGAATTAAATGAGGTAGCATATGTGAGATCTCCCAGCACTGTCTCTTATGGAAAGTTGGTCCTCCCATGTGTTGGTAATAATTCTAACCACCACTTATTCAGAGCTTACTATGTGCTGGCACTGGATTAAGCAGGATACAAGCATTATTTTAATTAGTCCTCACAGTAACTTTGAGGATGGTGTTAATATTTTCATTTTGCTCATGAGGAAACTGAGGTCTAGAAAATTAAGTAACTTGCTCAAGGTCACACAGCTAGTTAGAGCTAGGGCTCTAACTAGAAGATTTGATCCCGAGTCTTTGTGACATGGAAGTGGAATTCTTTGTTCCTACTGTGCTGCCTAACTTTCTTTCATTATAATTTCTTTGAAACTGGCCGGCAGGGTGGCTCTCACATCTGTAATCCCAGCACTTGGGAGGCTGAGATGAGTGGATTGCCTGAGCTCAGGAGTTTGAGACCAGCCTGGGCAACATGGTGAGACCCTGTCTCTATTTAAAAAAATTTTTTTTGTTGTTGAAACTTTGCATAGAAAAGGACGTAAAACTTTAGGGAAAATGTCTTTCAATCACTCACTGCTGTTGCAATTATTTAAAATAGAATCTGAGAAATATACAACTTTGAGTAATTGGGAGCTTTTGAAAGTGGGAGAGTAAATAGTAGAGGAATGAACATTTGAAGACCATACTCATTTTTATTTTGAAAACTTATAGGAATAGTGATCTGGTAGAAAATTAATACATTTAATCAAGGCATGCAGAATGTACAGAGACTTTTTTGGTAACACTTATTCCAGTGATGTAGTAGGAAAATATTCCTAAAGGCACAACTCAACTTCCAGCAGACATCTATAGAAATAGCAGCATCAAAAATGTATACGATTTATAAAATTTGGAAAATTTTCTGAAGATCTTAAGTAAAAAATTTAATATTAGTAAAGTTTTAGAAAGTATTTAGAAAATTTAATATTAGTAAAGTTTTTAGTAAAGTTTTTTAGAATAAATATAGAATAGGTGTTTGTTGGCTTACATGAAGGATGAGGCATAAAATGCCCAACATATCCAGTCATTCAGAATCTGAGGCAGTATCCAGGGCTTAATTAGGAGTTCTGGCATTTCCTAAATCTATTCGTTCCATTAGTTATCCCAACACAAATGTCTAGAAAAGCTTCTACTGAAATATTCAGGTTGATTATTGGAAGCTGTCATTACTGTTCTCTTTGAATGAAAATATTTAAAGGATTTGTTCCAGAAAATGCAATCTAGCCAGGAACTCTGTCTTTAAGGTGGGACTGGCATGGCTAGTCCCTACAAGCTTCCATGATCCAAGTACAGATTTACTGTAGTAAAGAAAAATCTGAGTCAAATGTCTGAAGAACAGGGTGTGATTTAGCTAAAAGTGCCAATTTTGTTACAGCATGTTTGGAAAAGTTGCCCCCGAACCGGCTGTCATGAGTATTTCTTACATTAAAATAATTCCCACTGAACTTTTTGAAAGTAAATAGCTGGTATCCAAGAATCTCCCAAAATAAGCCATTGGAAAGTCTCATGAGGACAGGAATCTTTGTCTCTGGCTCTCACCATAAACCCGTGTTGACTGTGAAATGAGAGGGAAATTATGTCTGCCACAGTTCAGCCATACCAGGAGTCTGGCTTTGTGTTTGTTCTTACATTTGAAAGCTTTCCCTTAACAAACTCGCAAATTCCTGGATGTTATAGGAAACATTCTTCAGATAAGTTTTGGATAATAACCTTGATATGATCCAAGTTGTATGCGGCAAATATAAACCTGCTCCAATATTATTATTGCATCTCCTAAAACTCCCCATGGATTTGAACTCTAGCAGAGATAAAGCAGACCCCAAGATGGTCTCAACTAGACAAATGTTGAATAGAACAATTGCTGCCTCCAATTGCTCTTGACACAAGTATTTGGTGGGGTGGGGAGGAGGACAGGGTGTTGTTTGCTATTCATGGACAGGCTCTTTTCTTTTTTATTCTGCAGACAATGATAACTAATTAATACTGCAGTGTCCTCAAGGTAGGACACATGGGTCAGGTCCTCTGTACCTGGACTTCTAATCATCTCAGATAAGGAGAAAGAGGAAGGAGCAGTAGCCACCTGCCTTTAATAGATTTGTTGCTTGGTTTTCTGGCAGGGCTCTGCCAGTCCACTTTGGCTTGGGTGTGGGGTGGGCAACTTCTCACCAAGAGGTCCTCAGGAAGAGAAAGTCTTGGGAGGAGGGGCAGCGTGACAGATGAACCATCGGGTTGAAAAATCCAAATATGTTCATCCTTGGTCTCATCTTTAATGTAAGCAGTTGAGAAATTAAGTTGCTCCCGCTGTGTTAGAGTGCCTCAGTTACCCCAAATTTAACCATCAGCAGAGAGCACACGTACATCCTAGGGGCTGCTGCTAGCAGCAGAAGATAATGCTTTTGCATACATTTCTAAGCACAGTGTGAAATGAGTCCCTAGTGGGAGGAAGCATGACCAATGAGTATCAGATGTTCAGGCTTTCTGTGTGACTCCAGCCAGGGGCAGGGCTGCGGGTAGGTTAAGACAGGGTTTAGGGAAAGAAAGGAATTTGAAGGCAACCAGAGCTCCAGCTTAACCAACCCCACAGTATAAAATGCATAAAGAGGCAAGTGGGAAGGAGGATGAGTGGGAGGCAGTGGGATAAAAGAGTGGGGGTTGGAGGGTGGGGAAGATCTTTCCAAGCCATATATGAGAGCTCTTGTTAACTGGCCTGACCACTCACCAGCAGGGTGACCTTGAGTATGTTACTTAACTTTTCTGGGCCTCACTTTCCTCATTTGTAAAATGAGGATGATGAGTGTACCTAGGTCATCAGATTCTTAATGAAGTCCAAATGAATACATGTAAAATATTCAGGTCTGTGCCTGGCAAATGGTAAGTGCTCAATAAACATTAGCCCTTGTCCGGAGCTGCACGCCCCGGCCATAGCGAATAATAATTAAGGATTAAAAGCCTGAGCTATATTCATTTCCACCCCACACCTTCTCCCTAGATTTACCTTCTTCCTTGTATTAACACCGCCATTAAAAGATGGCGCTCTTCCCGCTTCTTCTTCATTCATTTTTCCCGCGCCCGCGAAAAGACTACCTGACAGTGCAGGGGCAACATGACGTTCTACTGGAGAAACCGAAACCTATCTGGCCACGCCTTCCGCAATGAGGTCATTTCCGCCTTAGCCCAACCCCTTCCCCTCCAAATGTATATAAGGCATTGCATTACCGCCATTAAACGAGACTTGATCAGAGCACTGTCTTGTCTCTATTTCTCGTGTCTCTTGTTCCCCAAATTCCCACCCCCCTCCTCCAGGGCCTGTTCTGACTATCCCGCGGGACGGGATAAGCCCTTAGTATCCGTGGCTCAGGCTTGCTTTTATGGTGTGGTTTCATTAGTTTACCTACAGTTTGTACTAAGAGAGGGCTCTTTTGGAACATGCAGAGAGTGTTTTGGAATACCCAGGGAGGCTCTAGTGGGTATTACTTCATAGTTTGAATAAAATGTATGCTTGTTCAGGGAAAACTTGGAGATCCTTAAGAAATGTCTTTAAGAAGGATTACACCTGCCACTGAGTGTGAATTATTTAATTTAGTGTTTCAAATAAAAGAAAAAAAGACTTTCCTTACATATGTACTCACTTCATAATATAATAGGACACTTAGGGTCTCCCTCTCTGGTTTACTCAAAAATAAAAAGGCAATTAAAGAACTTCACAAAACATTCAGTTTCAAAAAAAAAAAAAAAAAACACTGAGGCGGTGCATATCTTGAGAGCATTTCCTTTCTTCTGCAGGAATGCTTTCTCATTAGATCTCAGTTCAGCCTGCATCTGGGGGTTGGGAGGGTGCTGGTTTGAAACAGACCTCTCTGTACAAATCTACAAAGAGATATGATTTTGAAACCCACCAGAGGGAGAAAGATGGTATGAACTTCCAAATAACTACATGGTCAAGAACTCACAGGACCTGAAATTTGACATGTGATCAAGGCCAGCACAGGCCTTTGAGAAACACAGACAAAAGTTATTGTAAAGGTGATACATTAACTGGTTCAGTAAGAGAAGGAGGGCAATACTGTTTTAAAAATGTTTTTTTGGATTATTTAAATCATAAGGGAGTAAGGACTTACTCCCTTATGAGATAGCTAAGAGTAACCTTAAATGTTAAACATTTAAGGCTAATTGAGATAGCTAAGCTTAACCTGTTTAGGGCTAATCTTAGGTATCGCCTTGCCAGAGCAGTCAAAACAGTTGGTACAAGGTCATTTTAGATATAAACCAGAAATAGTATGGAGGCATAATTATTATATCGAAAATACAAATCACAGCAAACACATTTTTCTAGAGACTCAGTTATGGTTTTGGTCAGGAAAAGAATCTTTGGTGTATTTTCACTAGACTCTAGCTTCATGGGTAACCTAGGGACTAGTACTGAAGTTACTGGAAAGTCACTATTATTTGGTGTTTCTTCCAAAGTCTATCATTAATATGTCTCTGACAGAAATTAACTCTGCAAAAAGCACTGTGGATAA